GCCGCGCGCGCTCCGCGTCCGCCGGTCTTAAAGGAGCCGCAGCTGAGCACAAGGCGCTCCAGTTCTGCACCGCGCCGCCCCCGGCTGGGGGCGGAACCGGCACTGCACCCCGCTGTGTGCATCCTGCTCCCCGCTCTGTGCACCCTGCACTCCACCTCGCTGTGCGTACCCTGAACCCCACTGTGTGCATCCGGCTCCCCGCCGTGTGCATTCTCTGCGCTGCACGCTGCTGTGTACATCCTGCACTTCAGCCCGCTGCCTGCATCCGGCACTGCAACCCACACTGCATTGCACCCCTCTGTGTGCATCCTGCACCTCCATGCATGTATCCTGCACTGCACCACACTATGTGCATCCTGCACTGTGTGCCCTGTACCGCATGTCGCAGATGGAGTGAGAGAGAGACGCAGTTCACTCGTAAGAAAGAAGCAGCAATATGTTTATTGATGTACGACAGTGAGTTAACAAGTTTCGATGGCAAGGTACACTTGATTATTTATTGCACAGAGGACAGGGTCAGACAAAACTGTCAGGGAGACCCTCCCATTGAGTCATGAGGTTCAGAAAGGACCCCCTTGCTTTCTAAACTCCTTCTCAGAGAGGAGTCTAGGTGCGGCTGGGTCCAATTCTATTCCCAGACTTGGTCAACGGTTTATGTCTAGAGAATTACATATGCGCAATCAATCCTTTATGTCACTTAGCTAAGATTTCCAAGTTTAGCGTGCTAGTAGTCACCGAGGACCTGTTGCGGCAAGGAATCTCAACCTCGAGGAGTAACCTTGGGAGGCATCCCTACTCAAGAGGAGATCCTGGCATGAAGCCCGCTGCCGTGCAGGAGAGCTCAAAGGGCTCTTGGGCTGCCCACTATTTATGGGGGTAAAATGATTGACTCATAGTCATATTTACATAGCGACTGCAGACATCAGTTTCTTCCAAATTTGGTTGGAGTCACACATTGATCAGCACTGTGGTTAGGTGAATGCATCGCCTATTGTGTTGTTATCTGCATCCATCATTTGCATTCATCACGGTCAACACAGGTGATTATCGCTTGAGCAGGGTTATGGGGAAAAGTCAGGTCGGGGGCAGGGGGAGCACACCATCACACTGCACCACACTGTGTGCATCCCATTGTCACTGCATTGGCCTCATCCTGTACCTCACGGCACTGCACTTGTGCATCCTGTGGACATCCTGGCACCGCTGTACCCATTGGCTCAGGAGAGAGAGCAATGAGGCACCCTGTCACTGCCGGCTCTGTGCAGGTCCCCTCCATCCCTTGGGGAAGGGAGAGGTGAGAGCGCTGCCCCACTTGTGATGCGAAACTGCTCGCCGTACGGTTTTGTGGTCACTAGATGTTTGCAGGGATTCAGAGACATAAAAGAAAAATTCAGGGAGCAGAAACCTGCCTGAGGACTATCAGCTCCGCTTCAGGACATCTCTGTGCTGGAACCTCTCCGTGCTGGAACCTCTCCTTGTATCCTTGCCCTGTTCTTTAAGTAAAAGATGTGGCGGAGAAGCTGGGGAAAAGTAGCAAACGAGGAGCTCATGGAAGGTGGGGATTATTTCCTGGGGAAGTTCTACCTTAGTGAAAAACCACAGCTGCAGGGAGAGCCATGCAGTGCTGCTTGGGTGGGGACTGCTCTGTCCTGGCCAGGACATTTCCATGGAGCAAATATCCGTGGGAGACAGCATTTAATGTCCACTGCTTGACTTCGGGTGTCGCCTCAAACCAATGAAGGGAAGCAGCCAGGGAGCTGCTGGTGGCTGGAGGTCACTGCTGTTGGGTGGCCAAGAGCCTGTCAGGATTTAGGAAACATTTGGATGGGCAGCTTGGAATAAGGGGCTGTGTGGCGCTGGTGCTGTTGTAGGAGAGATGAGAACCTGTCTGTACACTGGGACGTGCTGTGGTGGAGGGACTAGACAGTAATGCAGACACCCACTCGCTGAGCCCATCCTTCTGGGCCGGTGGGTGCCAGTCCTGTTGTACTGTGAGGATATTTTAGGATGCTCTCCTGCATCTCCTGGCCGGTGTCTCTCCACTGCCTTTGCAGAGCCCTAGCAGAAGACAGCGCTGCTGGGATGAGGATCATTTGCTCCTTGGTCCGGCAGTACAAGTGCAACTCCCAATTTTGCCTGTCGCTTGGAAACCCCAGAGGTCCAGGAGCAGCAGCAGTGTCATTTCACAGTCTGCCCAGTGCCACCTGATGTCATCGAGCCTGCTGACTTTGGAAGCCAAATCCACTCTGGGGGCACCAGGGGTGGGGTGGGGGCACCTTCTGACAGCCATCTTCCCTACCTGGTGCTACCATCTCATGCCCCTGGTGCAGGAGAGCCTCTCTTCCAGCCAATGTCAAGTCCATGATGGAGCTGCCTTGTGCCCCCCACCTCCACGCCCGTGCTGTAGTGCCCATTGCAAGGCAGACATGGCTTTTGCTCAGGGTGAATGACCCTCTCTGTCTTAGAGGATAACTAGTATTGGGAGAGGCACTTCTGGGATTTCTAGTGCAACCTTTGCATGGCAGAGTTGATTCCAAAACCAGACTAGGCTGCAGAGGGCTATGTCTCATTGAATTTGGGTTGCCAAATTCGCCACCAAGGCTGGAGATACTCCCATCTCTGGAGAGGGCCATCTCTGCAGAGTCCCTGAAGGGACAACTTCCAGGGCCAAATGGGGACTCCAGCCAGAGCAGGAGGCTCTGGCATGGGCTATAGTCTGAGGTCCCACCAGTCCTCTGTGCTCTGGTTTGGTGGGGGCTCAGTGCTTGGTGCTGGAGGCTCTCAGGAGAGCGAGTGCATCCTGCTTCACCTCAGAGCTGCTTTCTGTAGAAGTAGCCCTGAGCTCTCTTTTTCCTCAGACACCCCTAAGTGCAGGTGCCCCGCATACTGTGCAGTGCTGAGGGCAGTGGAGCAGTGTAAGGTACTTTCTGGCTCGGAGATCCTCCACTGCTCACTTCTTTCAGTATTTTCTAATTTCTCAAACCTTTCTGGATGGCTCCCAGTGGGCACTGGGCTCTGCAGCTGGCAGGTGAGGGCTGGCTTTTCCCTTAGCTGTTGATCCTGGAAGTGAAACTCACTGCTGGTGCTGTGCTGCCCCAAGACAAAGCCAGAAATAGTTTGTGAAGGTGAAAATGCTTCTCAAATAGTCTGTCCTGGCAGTGCCAGAATGTTGTGGGATGGAGGAGCTGTAGGGGCCTTGTCCTGCAGCCTCACAGCATCAACTCCGTCTGCACTTTTCCTGGCAAAGATTCATCTAAATTGGTCTCAGAAACTTGGGTGTGGTGAGCCCATTCCTGTAATGAGCTCTTCCCTCATTAGTGTCTCCTAATTCAAGTGCTTCCTAACCTACTTCTCTTTTGCTTCCATTTAAGTTCACTGCTTCTGAGTCACAGCAGACAGATCTACTGATGACTTTGAAATCATGTTTCTGCAGGATCAAAGCATGACTGTGCAGACAGACAGATAGCGAGGAACAAATCCTGACAGATGCAGCCTCCCAGCAGGAGCGGGACCTTGGCACCAGGACATTGCCATAGCTTTTGACCCTGAACTGTGAATGTGGTGATGATGTGGGAAGAGTTATCCCATGTGACAGGTCTCTCCTGAACCCTCCTGTGCAGATCACAGGTCCTTTATCTCAGTATAACTGGATTTAATTTTCTTACATCCATTTCTGTGAGAACCACTCAAGGCTTTTTTCCTCCATATGCCCCAAGATTCCAGTCCTAGCACCTGACATGGGATTCCGTGGGTCTCAGTGGGAGCACATCAGAGATGCAGAACAGACATTCATTAATGGAGAATGAGCTCAAGGAAGCAAATTTATTGGGATGCTTTACCAGACACTGCAGAGAGGCACAGAGTATATGGAAATTTGTGACGTAGCTTTTTTGCTTGCTGTGAGTTCTAAAGGCAGCTAAGAAACTCTGATGAAAAGTCACTCCAGGGCTGAGTGTCTTCCTTCCGCAGGGAAGGTACATGAATCCACAAATTTCATAAGTGATTTTTTTATTCTTGATTATGAACATAATAACAAGGAATCATTGGCAAGCACAGGGGAAAAGAGCTGAGCAGAGGGGGAGCCTGCACTCAGAGAGGGGAAATGCAAAGTGGCATTTCACTAAAACCCTACTACCTTTGGGCTCCCCTCTTAGCTCCAGAAAGGCTCAAGCTCTTTGGCCATGCAGAGCCTTTGCAGAGTGTCCAGTGTGGACAGGAGGGGGAAGAAGCACTAACAATACGGAGCTGGTTTGATGAGGATAAGGGAGGATTTGCAGTTCCCTTTGCACAGGCTGCCCCATGTCATGCCGCCCTTGAAATTCAGCCGTACAGAATAACATGCCGAGTACCACCACCCGCCCTCATAGCTGTAGGCACAGTTCTTACTGTAAGTGTCCTGATCCCTATCCTTTGTGGAGAATTTCATGTTGTCATGCATGGTGTTGGGATTGTCTGAGGTCATGGCATCCCCTGCTGTCCCTGTGTAGGAGCCCAGCCTCAGCCGGTAGCCGTGGGACTCATCTTCCACGCTGAAGAGGTTGTAGTCTGCAAAATTGGTGTTGTCTGTGGAGTCCTGGATGATAAACCTGACCTGGTAGACCTTCTGCTTGGCAATCTGATGGATGTACTCAGTGCCCAGCCAGTACTCGCCACGCACGTTCCCAAAGCCGTACTTGTAGGTGCTCCAGGACTCGGCCCAGGTGACTGGTGTGTCTTTCTGGTTCCTCTGGATGACCGTCCAGCCCCCGTTTGTCACATTCATTTCACAGTACACCACGAGGTGGTGGAGCCCTTTCGGCTGGATGATGTAGACACCACTGCGGCTGCCAGCGGGGATCTCGCTGCAGTCCTTGGGCCAACCTGGGGCAGGAAACAAAGACGGTTATTAAATCCCACACAAAAAGCACCTGGTATTTCTTTTGTGCCTATATCCTATTGCACACACATTCTTGGGTATTCCTGCCATGTGCTCACAGGAGTAAATCAAAGTCTTGAAATGATCTATGTAAGAGTTGGGCTTCATATCTTCCCAAGACAGGATTCAAACTGATGGGGACACACTGCCAAAATGTCTTGGTCTGGTGAGACCAAGCCAGACATTGCCTTCACCCAGCACACAATGCACCCTAGCCCAGGCTGGATTCAGTCTTGCAGTGCTGTGGTGATTTGCCTGTAGCATGCAGGTGATGTATCACCACACAGACAAATGCAAATCTGGGTTATAAAGCCATTTGCTGTTACAGCATGGAGGCTTTAGAGCTTTATAGTAATCTCAGAAACCCTGGAGAGAGTGTGATCAAGACATCCATATTGCTAATAATGAAATCAGCCCTTGTGATCTCAATAGGGCAAATCCATCGGTTTTCTCTGGGCTTACCTGAGTAGCTCTTCAGAGACTTCCTGACTTGTTTGATTTAATTATGATCTTTCCATGCGCCAGCGTGTCAGCCCCTTATACAACAAACAGCTGAATGGCCCTACACACTTCTGGGAATGGACTTGCTCCGCTCCCAGTACCTCTGCTACTGGTTATTCCTACACAGATAGGAACTATCTTGTGGTCCTATGGGCTAATATTGACTCAGTCAGTTCAGTAACACAGTCAGTCCCTGCCTTCCACAGTCTTCTCATCAACTGTATAGTGAAAATAGGAAAATAACCAATCACCACTTCCCAAAGGCCAATAATGAATCATCACTTTCCAGTTTGGATCTTTAGGTGGAAAATTCCCCATGCTAAAGATCCTCATCAACTACTGAGATCAGGACATGGCTGGTAATAGAGTCCCCCCAAGGTTATGAGCTGTGGCACCTCTGCAGCCTATCAGAAAATCAACATTTTTCCTGGGAGGAGCCAGTGCACATGTAGGACATGGGCTGAGATGGCTGAGAACTCTTTATGAGCCCAGCAACGGTGAAACCTTATGAGCAGATGTACTCCTTGAGAAAAGACTTACCATGGCTTGCTGGTGGGTGGGGGGCAATGTCTCTGACCTGTCGAACATGTTTGCCACCATTATCTGAATTAACAAGAACAGAGGACACAGGAGTGAGTGTTGAGAGTAGACATGTCAAATGCCTACTGGGAGAGCATGATCTTCTCCAAATGATATTCCTGTTTTTCTGTTGTTGCTCCTAATTCCCATGAGGGACTTTGCCATTTCAGATATCAGCCAGTTGGTAGTTCAGGGAAATTTACATGGTGTTAGAATGGGGCAGATGCTTCCTTGGTGAGAAAGATTTGGACACACTGTATAGGGGAAAGACCCTGAATGGTGGTGGCAACACTGGAAAGGTGGTTGTTAAAGTGCGGTAGAAGGGACTCAGGAAGAAGAGGGATTAGAGGGGGAAGAAACGTGAGAGCAGACACAGGTGCAGGTATCAGGAGTTGGGAGAGGGGCTCTGCTCAGCTGGGTCAGAAAGGAATCTGAAATGTGTTACTGGAAGAGAGGATGGTTTAGAGTGAATTAATGCAATTCTTTTGCAAGGACATCTTCTGTGTATCCACTGATGGGTATAAACAGAGGAATGAATCACAGGCTTATGGAATCACAAAAGCCATTCCTGTCCCCTCTCTGAAACAGCCGCCTAACCCTGCAGCCGCTGCTCTCTGACATCCTCAAATATCTGCTCCCTGCTTTCACTCTCAGCTAGTGCTTTCCTACCCCCTCCCTTATGAAGTGCTTAACTTAAGCCTCTTGCACTTTGTATAAGTCCATTCCTTCTCTTGCTACACCCAGAGTACACTTTTTCCTGCAGACAGACTGTAATATTGCTATCACTTCCTCCTCCATGGTCTTCTGATTTTGGGGCTAAACTATTCAGTTCTTCAGCCTTTCCTGACACAGTCTGCCTGCCAGATTTTTGACTCCTTTCCTTTTGACTCTCTCCAAATGTGTCTCGAAGTCCGCCAGTGAACGTGGTGGTTCACCTGAGCCATGAGTGTGGGAAACACTCATGTAACGTGGTCTAGAGGACTTTCCTACCATGGTATTTACTTTTACTACAGCCATATGAAGCTGTTCACTCATGTTCGGTTTGTAAGCCACAGTCTGCCCCTGCTCCTTTCTGCCTTCACTTCCCATCCATTTGGAAGCACTCTTCCACAAGTCAAGAGTTTCAAATGTTAGCCTGTCTTCTCTGGCATGCCTCCCTGCTTATCTATCTTGCATTCATATTGCTCATGTTTTCGGAGCACCCTACAAGTGGTCTGGGTGAGAGATGAGTGTGAAGCCCAGAGCACACCCCCTTTCTCTACTCAGACTTGCAGTTCTTGGTGAAGCCCAAGCTCTTGTCTCACTCATGGGTGCTCCATGTGTTGGCAGTTTCCTGACAGCTGACCTTTGCAGTGAAGGCTGATGTGAAACCAGCATCAAACACTTGGACCTTGAGCTCTTCTGCCAGGAATTCTTCCTCCTCCCTTGGAAGGGAACCAGGTCTTTCTGTCGTGTCATGTCCCACCCGCAGCCCCCAGTTTTATTCCAGGAACATTTCTTGGAGGCTTCCTCATTGCTGCAATATACCCTGGTATTTGTAGGTTACTCTGTGCCATCATCTGGTGATTGCTTTTTGTCAGTGCCACTGCTTAGACTCTTTGTATTAACCTCACTTACTTCCCCTTTGTTTTCACTTCTTTCTTGAATTCAGTTCTCCATTGACCTTGTGATTTCCAGAGGCTACTGTTCTCCATGTCCTCAAAACAAACTGTGATTGTTTGCCTTAACATCTTTAACACTGCTTCTCCAAGGAAGAGCCCATGGCTCACAACACCCTTGGCTTGGCCTTGCTGCCAATGAGACCGAACCTGTCCTTTCTCCTGGGATCCTGTGAACTCTGGGCTTTGGACTATTGAACTCACTTATGGGCAGAAGAACTTCATGCCAGACAGGAGGAGAGACGGCAGCAAGCAGAGGAGGACTCTGAGATGATTCTTGCTCGAGTAAGACATTGCATTGGCATTGCCCACACGTAGAGCAGTATTTAGTCCTTCCTCCATGTTATAGGGGTGTGGTTAGGCTGGTGAGGAGGTCTGTGTAGGACCTGACCGAGCGTGACCTTGTTTGCCTCTTCCTATTGTAGTGGTATACTTACCGAGCTGGGAGGACTCTGGGGGAACATTCATAATTTCATCCAGCGTGCCATTGAGGAGATGCACGTTTTTTATGTCAAAGGCAGGAAGAGATGCTGCAAGGGCCAGCAGGCAGGTGAAAAGCAGGAGACAAAGGCGCTGGGTAGCTGAAATGGGAAGAGATTGGAAAAGAAGAAAGAGATCATAACTCTTCCGTTAGAGAGCCATGAATCCCATTTGACTCCTTTACTTGCAGAGTAAAATAAGAAAATAAAATTCTTTATGTGTAGAGCTGCCTCTTGGAGCCATAAGCCCCAATTCACTCATTTAGGTGAGCTGTCATATACTTATTGGCAGGAGTCATTAGTGGTGGCACCCGGTGTTGGTGGTTTTTGAGACAGAAGAAGTGCGAAAACCTTGTCCAAACTCAAAGTGACTGTAATGAGAAATCCCTGTAAAAACCAAGTCTAGGGGCTGGAGATAACAAGCAGGGTGAGCATGGAGGGAGGAATCCCCTTTTCTCCCAGCTCCCATCACACTCCCGTGACACACTCACATGGTGTAAGCTGGGACTACACCTACCTCCAGTCCCGGTTTGTGGGCAGTAAGAACCCAGATGTCTGGGTGGGAACAAGCCCCAGGCAGGGTTGTGTGTATTTCTCTGCTCTGCATGAAAGCAGCATGACTGAGAGGGGCAGCACAAACTTTCAGGAATTACTGCCTGGCTGGTGCAAATTATGTCCCTTATACGGTTATATGGTTACTTCAAAATTTCCATATGTAGCCAGCTGTTCTGGTTTATTCTTGTTCAGAGCAGCTAGGGAAACCCCCACACTTTTTGCAATATTAAATCTAAATAAAACAATAGAAAGTTAATCATGATTCCTAGAGAGTGGGGCATTGTGGAGACACCTGCCCATGGGGAAATCTGTTCATGTTATTTTAGATGTAGCTCACCCTGGCAGATTACCAATGTGATTCCTCCACTGTTCAAAAAGGAGCAGAACCAAACCTATTGCACTGCCCTGGGATACCTGGGTTTGGCACCGTTCCCATGACTGAGATGACTGAGAAGGAAAACAATCAATGATGCTGGCCTGGAACTGCTGTGTGCGATTGCAGCCGCCCTAGAGACAAGCACCCCTTTCTGGGAGTACTCAGAGCCGTCCCAATCATTTGTGCTGGTTACAGCTTTACAGCAAAGGTCTTTTAAACACACTTCAGTCCAACTGATTTGCTTCTCAATTCCTGCATAACATTTAGTGTCTTGATACACTTGTGTTTAAAGGCATGTTTAAAGATATCTCTTCTTTAGGCCACCAGAGAAGCAGTACTCCCTCCACTGCTGGCCCATTCCCCCATGAATGGTCATGAAAGGTCTGGGTAGGAAGGAGATGCAGAGGAGAGGATCAGTCTCTCCTGGGTGTTCTTCTGGGGACAGCAATGTGCTTTCGAGCATCTAAACTCCAGATCTTGATACCTGTTCAATATCGCTCCTTAAGCAAGAATATCTAAAAAATCCATTTTCTATTCTAGGGTATTTAATACTTTTCTTGGAGAACTGAAAATTACAAAGAATGTTTGGTAAATATGAGGCTTGTAAAATGGGCTATCTGGCACTCCAGGGCTACACTGGTACAGCCTGAAAATAGCAGAACATGCAGACTCCTGCTCCAGTTCACAGCCCAGGGCACAGTAAGCCCAGACAACGTAATGGACTTAGTGCTGGGATAGCTGGGGTGTGGGGAGAAGGGAGCCCTGCAGAAGACAAAGTGCCAAGATGCCCTGTGACCCACAGGCACACGCAGCAGTGCCGACCCCTCCCATCCCATCCCACACTCACCCATGCTGTCTCTGCGGGGACCCTGCGGAGCGGGAAGCCGAGCGGGTTTGGCCTGGCTGGAGGGGTGTCCAGCTGGAAAGTTATAGGGCTCAGCAGGTGAGGGGGTGGAGGCACGAGACCCAAACCACAGCACTTGTCCTCTGGTTGGCAACAGGACTAGTGGTTTACAGCTTATTTGCTCTTCATCATTAAGTGATATGTCCTCAGACAATGAAGGCTGTGTCTCACAAAGGTGAAGAGCTTTCTTCAGAGGCAAAGCAAATAATTTGGTGCCAATAAGCGAATGCCTTAAACCCACCATGATTTACAGTGCCTGGCTGCCTCGCTGCCCTGGCAGGGTTTCCCCAGGGAACGGCATCCTCTGGGCACCTCTGCACATTTCAACTCGTAAGTAAACATCCAGATGACATTCCCCCTCCTGGATGGAAATCAAACATCAGTCATAAATCACTCTCTCCAGAGCAGGCATTGAGCCCAACAGCCACTGGGGACCCCATTATACCCTTCAGGGAAGAGGTACTCTAGTGTTCCTGGCAAATTGTGCACCGAACTTCAGAAAGTGCCACTCCAGGTGCCTCCTGACGTGCCTGGCCTGCCACCACCACGCTGCCTCTTGTGCAACGTGCACTGTGGTCTCCCCTGGCACCGCAGCCCTTGCAGCAGTCACAAGGGGGTTTTGGGAACCATGACGTGACACTGATGTAAAATGGTCTCACTTCAGGCCCCTCCCTCCTACTAGGAGTACTTACACCATGAATTTCTTACAGAAAATGCCAGACTATCCTTTTCCTAGGGATTGATACCTGCAGTATCCTGAGTTATGAGGACTCCTGTACCCCAGCATCCACCTTGTGCTGGACAGCACAAGATGGCCACAGCCTGCGGAGGAGCAGGCTGGGCTTTTGTCACAGGCTGTTCGCTTGCAGCGTGGCTGCCTGATCATGGAGGCTCCTGTGCATGCCCTGCTGTGCTGCTGCTTCTGCTCAACAGCAGATGCAAGCAAAGGCAGGCAGCAACCCTCAGCAGAGCTTCACCAGCAGCTTCCAGTCCCCAGCCAGCTTTTCCAGGAGGCTGTGGCTGGTGTTTGGGTTAGGATGTGCAAAGCAAGCAGGGGGAAGGCCATAGAGGTGATTTCTCTGAAACCCCAGCTGTGCCCTGGGGTCCAGCTCCTGCTCAGTATTTGTTTGATATTGAAAGAGCCACAGTTGTGGCACAGATCTGTTTATTGCTGCATCGTGGGCTGCATCTGGAAAAATGCAATGAGGAGGGTGAGGGAAGGGATAATTCACTTCCATGACAGCTAGAGTGCTGTGTCCTGTGTGGGCCTCCCCCGTACACAACAGCGACTAAAATTCCAGAAGGAGTCCAGCTAAGACCACCAAGACAGTCAAGGCAGGAGCACATGACATATGTGGACAGGCTGAGAAAGATGGGCTTGTTCAGCCTGGAGAGGGGAAGGCTGAGATGGGATCTTGTTGCTGCCTACAGCTACCTGGTGGGAGGGTGGAATGCAGACGGAGTCAGGCTCCTCAGAGCACTGTGTCTTGTTTTGGACCCCTCATTACAAGAAACATATTGACAGACTGGAGCAAGTCCAGCGGAGGCCACCAGACTGATCAGGGGCCTGGAGCTCAGGATGTGTCAGGAGACTCTGAGAGAACTGGGCTTGCTCCACCTGGAGAAGAGCAGGCAACAGGGAGGTCTTATTGCTGACTACAACTACCTCATGGGAGGATACAGAGAACATGGAGCCAGAGTGTTCAAGGAGGTGCATGGTGGTGTGATGAGAATCAATGGATCTAAGTTGGAACATGGAAATTCCAGTTAGGAACAGGGACTTTTTTAACATGAGGTTGGTCAAATACTGGAACAGGTGCCCAGAGAGGCTGTCGGATTTCTATCCTTAGAGGTGTTCAAGCCTTGACTGGACAAGGATCTGCTTTTAGCAGGGGTTGGACTAGATGGCCTCCAGAGGTCCCTCCCAATCTAAATTATTCTATCATCCTGTGATTCTATGACTCTCCTTAGAGGTGCACAGGGATAGGATGAGAGGCAACGGACATAAGGGAAGAGAGGGAAATCAGAATTAGGTAAAAAAAATTTCAGCCTGAGGGTGTTCAAGGACTAAAAAAAAAAAAAAAAAAAAAGAGAAGTTGTGGGGCCTCCATTCCTTGACATATTCACAACTGACCCAAACATGACCCTAAGCAACCCATTCTAAGTTGTCCCTGCTTTGGCCTTGAGATCAGACCAGAGACATTCAGAGGTCATCCTGGTCTCGGTTACCCTATGTTTCTCCGGTTCTCTGAAGAGCCCTCTCCCCAACCCTTATGCATCTGTATTTCTGCAGGAGCACAGCCATGGTGCCAGGCCTTGTGCAAGACACAGAGCTGGCCGCAGCAGAACGTGCCTTCAGAAGCCACTTTATAAGCCCAAGGAGCTATAGCAAAAGCCTGAGGACCTATGGAGCATGAGACCCGTAAGCCAGCCAGGTTGGTGTGATTTGCTCTTTCAGGATTAACTGCTACTGTCATGGCCCTGAGTGCACCAGTAGGCCTTAATGGCTGGTGACCAGTGCTACTTGAGACCTTCGCCTGGGCCCATGAGGCCTGTTTCAGCTCGGCCCTGGGCTTTCAGTCCTAACCTGAGCCACATTGTATGAGTACTGATCTCCAGTCCCCTCTCTGGCCTTGTTTTCTGGATGGATCTTAAACCCACACTGTAGATAGCTTATTTCCTGGATGGACCACTCAGATCTGTGTTGTAGCTTATCTCCAGCCCTGCCTTTTGCACTGTGTTCTTTTGTCCAGGATCTTGGGCCCAGCTGACTGCTTGCCTTGCTTGGAGCTGTTGCCAACACCCAGCTCTGCCTGCTGTGCTCAGACCCGGCAGGACGGAGCCCCACCAGCAAGGGCATTGCCTCCTGGGCGTTCACCTTTGGCTTCTGACTTGCCTGCCCGTGGGGAGCAGCCAGCCTTTGCTACTCCCAGAGAGCTGGCTCATGCTTTCATTCTCCTCCCTTGAGTCCTGCATGGTGCCCCCTGCTCTGCCTCTCTGGAGTGCAACCACTGGTTGTTGTCCTCAGCTCTGCTTCCAACCTGTATCTGCTCAGAGGTCCTCTTGCAGCTGTCTTCTTAGAAAGAGGTCCCACATCAGCATGATTTAGAAAATCACCATCAACTGGAACATTTGAGCTAAAGTCAAAACTAGGGTCTCTGCTGGACTGTAGATAAGCTGTCCTGTTGACACACTGTTTCTTTGAAGGAAATACCATTTGCATCTATTCGGAGCAGCCCAGTGGAACCTGCTGTACGCAGGGGCAGGGGAGGACTTCCTCTCCATGACACGTTCCCCCTGCATCTGGCAGCCCTGTTGCCAGCAGTGACCCCAGTGATGGTTCACCAGCCGCAGCCTGCCTGCCAGCCCTGGCACAGGCACCCCACCACGCCCCGAGGCGTTGCATTGCTCAGTGCTGGCATTAGCTCTGGCAGCAGCCCATGGGAGCCCCTAAGTCACCCACTTCCTCTGCCCCCAAAGAAAGGGGACATGGCCCCTCTGCTTGGGGTCTTTCTTTCCAGGGCCCTCCTCCCTGCATAGACTTGGGAGTGCTGCTTTTATGATTCCCCCTAAACTAAAAAACTATGATTCCCCCTAAACTAAACTAAAACTGCAGACAAGGACTCCCAACCTCTAACCAAGCAAGCAGGGGTTACATCTAAGGGTGCAGGTGGAAGCTGATCCAAGGATCCCTTACCTCGGAGAGGTCTGGATGCCACAGGTTGCACTGCTTGATGTGAGCTCCTGCAGTATGGGAAGTTTGGTGGGAGCCTCAGCTTGGCACTGGCTTGCTGTGAACACCAGGTTTAAAGCTGTGCCATGAAGAAGACATCTGGTCAGTAGGCTATTGAAACCAACACAGGAGAAGAAAGTTGAAGGGCCACATCTTTATCATCTTAAAATTGGCTTGACAAAGTGATGAAGCTGTCTGCACCTTCTGGCACCAAGAACAGCCCTCCCAAACAAGCTGTCCTGAGAGCCTTTTGCTCCTGTAGAGGGGCCAACCCCTAGTTGACGTTGCTGGGTCTGGTGGGGGATCTGCAGGGTCTCATCAGGCCAAAGACTGGGATTGGGAAGGAGAATGGCAAAGGGACCCACAGACACCTGCTTGTTACCTGGAACCCTTGCCTTCTACTCAGAGCGTGCAGATTGGGGTGCCAGGGGACACTGTATATACAGTGACTTCTGGCTGCTGGACACTGGTTCCAGCCCAATGACTTAACTCATTGATCCTGAAAACTGCCAGTGGAGAGTTATCAGGCAGGCACGTCTCTTGAGGACCTGTCCTCATCTTTCCAAGGTCACCTAATCTTTCCTCCTTTCCTAGTTTCTGTGTGTATGTCCTTAAAAAGTTGGGTCTCTCCACTTCAGTTTGTTCATGGCTCTCCAGAATTTGCTCCGAGCGGGCAATTCACATGTAGTGTTTGTGTAGCTGAGCGAGTCAATAATTGAAAAGGGGATTATTTTGTACTTCTCTGGCTGGAAAGGCATGTCTCCCCCCCTCAGGGTGTTTAGTTGTGTTGTCATGGGATCTGAAATCTGCAAGTGCCTCCTTGTGCCTCTACAAATTACAAGTGTGAACACAAGTGGGTGTATGCAGTACCTATAAAGTCGCTGTTGAAAGCTCAGCAGGGGAGGGTGCACCACTGGGTTCCTGCTCTCTGCTCAGCTGTGCTGTTGTGATGGGTGAGTTATCTTCCCAGCGGCACACTGCCTTCATGTGTGGTGCTGGGCTCAAACAAGACCTGACTGGGGTGAGTACACAAAGGCACAAGATGATTAGCAGGACAGCAGCCATGATCTTGCCTGGATGATGCATGCTGCCAGGCACTCTGGTAGCAGATGGGACGCAAGACAAAAGCACCAAACGACACACATGCTTGGTGCCAGCATATGCTTTCCCCAGGCTACCTATGCCCTGTATTGCCATGTCCTGTCAAGGGACATTAATGTGGAGACTTAGATTTCAACTTGGTCCTTTCCCTTCCTGACCAAGGCATGTGGCACAGGGGTCCTTCCCCAAGCATGATGGCATCTGCCCCAGTAACTGAGCTAGTGCAGGGTGTAGGGGTGTGCTGGTGGCCAGCACAGAGGGTTTGGGCTTGTGTCACTGCGTAGGCCCAGGAGACTTCCTCCTGTCTGCTTGGGAGCTGGTACCTGTGCAATAGGACCTATCCTTTGGATCTGGTTTCCCACTATCTGTCATTGGGCTGGAGTGGCTTATATAAAAGGCTTAAGCATGATTACTCCAAAAAGAACTGTTTTTTGTGATCCCTCTACCACTGGCAAATTGCTCTCCCCAGATCTAGCTGTATCATTGTCCTCTTTTAGCTACTCTTGGGCTGTAGGTTCTGAGAACAGATGTGCAGATTGCTGTCTGGTGCAGGGAAGGGGCTGATCAGGAGGGTGACAAAGCCAATTCTCACCTTACTTCAGCCCTGCGGGGGCAGAGCCTGCACTGAAGCTGCAGCTCCCACCACCCTGGGGAGCTGCAGCTCCTCCCACCGCAGGCTCCTGCCTGTGCCCTGTGGCTCTGCCTTCCCTGGTCTGAGCTCTCCAGGGGCCATCAGCAGGGACAGAGGGGACTGCCCAGGGATCCTAATGGTGCTGGGCCCTTTCCTCCCCAGGGCTCCAGGCTGGGACAAGTTGGCTCCGTGGGGACTTTGTTCTCCTACCCACAGTGGTGGCGATGCTTCTCCTCTGCACAAGTGCTGGCCCAGCAGTACCCACTGCCAGTTCCCGGAGTGGTGAGTATGGAGTGGGTGGGGGGCACTGGCTGGGCACCAAAGTCCAGAGCAGGAAAGTGTCTCCCTAGCTCAGCACTGACTCTCAGGTCAGTGGAGCCTGGAGCTAGGAAGTGCTAGGAACGCCAGCTAGGAAGGCCAGCATGCACCCAGGTTGATGCACAAAACAAGAACTGCTCACACACACAAACCCCTGGGCCATGGCTTGTAAGGTAAGCAGCCTGACACCTGTCAAGCCATCCTCACTCCCTTGGTGGCTCCATGCTGAAACTCAGAGGTTTCTGCCCAAACACCATAACTTGGCAGGATTGCTCTGCAGTGCTGGTGTCTTTTTACACTTCAGTTCTAGGAGAGATCCTCCCAGCACTTTTTTTTTCTTTTTAGCTCTTGTTGGATTAGGAGTAGTCCCTTCCTCCCTGCAAGGGAGGGTTACACTCCCTGCAAGACCTGTGTGCTCAAGAAAAATAGAATTTCGTGGGCTGAATTGGAATTACCCACAGCAGGTTGTCCCTCATCAGACACAAAACAAAAAAACCAAATTAGGCAGCAAATTAGTTTGGCAAGTAAGTCATGACAGATCAGTCCTGCTAACAGATAAACTGCAACAAGCTGGGGGAAGAGATCACTGTGAGATCAAGACAGAACTTAGCCTTCTTTTGCAATGCCATGACCCCCAGGGAAAACATAAATTTTCATTACATATCCTCATCCAGTGGAGCATTTTGGACACTTCTGATGCTTGCAAGAGCTGCAGCTCAATATATCCAGGGCCTTGTGTGAGAGCCAGATATACTTGGAGGACATCACTGGCATCTGGAAGATTTTTTTCCCCTCTTTTCTTGGCCAGATACATTAGAAGGCTCCAAATGAAATAGCAAGACATGAGAAATAGATCCTAGGGCTCTTACCAGGGCCACTGTCTTAGAGAGCTTCAGTTGCCTGTGGATGAGCCAGTGGAAAAGCCACTCTGCACTGTGGAGTAGACTACAGATAAAACCAGCCCTTTTTGTCCTGAGTCCTCCCCTACAGGAGCAATTTGTTGCCCTGACAGACTCATATGATCCTTCTCTCTCCCACCCTGTGTCTGCCACTGCTACTGTCACAGGGTTCCCCGCAGACTGCAGCCATCTCCGCAAGACCAGCCCCAGCGGGGTGTACGTCATCCAGCCGGCAGGGTCACCCCCAAGGGTGGTATGGTGCGACATGGACACTGAAGGCAAGGGCTGGACTGTTGTCCAGAGAAACTCTCATGACACTGAGATCACATGGAAGCAATCCTGGACCACCTACAAGTACGGCTTTGGGAATGTGCGGGGCGATCACTGGCTGGGCACCGAGTACCTGCACCTGCTGACGCAGCAGGGCACCTACAAGGTTCGCTTCGTCGTGCGGAATAAAGCCAATGTCACCCATTACGCGGAGTACGACATCTTCAGGGTGGAGAGTGAGGCTAGCGGGTATCCGCTAAGGCTGGGCCGGTTTTCTGGTGATGGGGATGACTATCTGACCAGCTATCATCCCAAGAAGGGGGGCATACATGACAACATGAAGTTTAGTACAACCGACAGGGACCAGGACCAGTACAGCGGGAACTGCGCCAACAGCTATGGGGGCTGGTGGTACGACAGGTGCCAGAATGTTCTGCTCAATGCCAAAAAAAACATCCTTTGGCCAGGATTCTGCGATAACGGCGACTGCACATCCTCCCTCATCCTGGTCAAACCCACAGATGTGTGCTGACCGTGCCGCAGCGCCCAGCCTCCCCGGAGTTTGTGAGATTGTGAGAGTGCCACCGTCCCCATCTCAGTGCCCTGCTCCCATGCCTGCCAACAGCCCTGTGCCATCCTCGGTGCACATCCTGCACTACCTGCAGCTCCCGCACCGTCACCAGCTGAAACACAGCAGCTCTGGGGCTCAGGAGCAATCGCTCGGAGCCCCAGGCACGTGGCGGTGCTGGCTGGCACTGAGACACAGGCACTGGTTTGGGGTGGGTGCTCCCACTCCTGTCCTGGGGAGGGGGAGACAGTGCAAGTTCCCTTCCCTGTGCAATCGGTGCATCCCTGCTTTGCTCAGGCCCTGCTCCTTCCCCGGGCCCCATACGCCCCACAGCTCTGTACCCATGGTGGGAGAAATCAGCTGCAATAAACCCTGAAGCCAGACTTTGCTGCCTTGTGTCTGTCTGCCGCCGCAACACTGCACATAAGTGTGGGGGATCATTCTGTCCAGTCTCCGGGGTGGTGGACCTGGGGGAAAGTAGGTGTATTATGCAGGTCCCCTCCCGGGCCAGGGGAGACACCTGCGCAAGGGATGCCAGCTCTCCCTGGGACATGCAGAGCTCACTTCCCCCAGGACTGGCATGGTGGCTGCTGGGTTCAAGATGATTTGCTCAGGCAGTGCTGGGCCAGCTCAGCTGTGGAGCAAGCCCATATGGACCCAAGCTGATCCAGGCTTCTTGAACTTCTGGGATCTCTGCCATGTCAGGCTGCCTCAGCTCTTAACCCTGCCCCAAATATCCTAACCATGCAGTGCTGTGTAGCCTTGCAGTGCTATTGTCCCTTTCTGCCCTGTCCACTCTTCCAGTTACCTCCCAAGGCCTGGGCCAGCTTTCACAAGGTTAACAAGGCAGGATGATGCTGACCTGGCCTGCTGTCTCTGGTTGGCTCCAGGTCACGGCTGGTAGGGCTGAACTGTGCTTGCTCTTGGCCCTGTGATACTGCATTCCCTTTTGAAAGATCCCCCACCTTGAAACCCAACTCTCTTCTTTAAGTGAAAGTTTTGTCTTTAATTCCTCATTTAAGTCTTACAAAAAGTTTTGCCTTTGAACGTCTTTTCTTACTGCACCAGGAGCGTCAGGTCTGCTCCTGGCAAGAACCTGGCAGCAGTTGCGAGAAGTTCCCAAACAAATGAAGGACATTTATACATGTCTGCGCAGGTTCTGAAAGCAATTTTATTCTGCAGGATGAACACAGATGACAACAGGGATATGGTGCGTACATGGCCTGCCTGGGCTTAGAGAAGCTTAGATCAGGTTAGCTAGTGATGACTGATATTTTTCTGCTGAAGTCATCTACACTCACGAAGCAAAAAGAGAATAAGACCTTGCTGGATCAGGAGGGTTTTAGGTTTCTGAGCACAGTTTTCTCCCCAGAAGGAACATGCTTGGAAACCGCAGCATTTATAAAGACTTGTTCCAATAATGATCCCTAAAAACCCACCACAAGTGAAAGGCCAGAGACAAAGCAGGGAGCTTTGCTACTTTTCAAGAGAAGAGGAAAAGAAAACAGCTCTTGATATACAGGAACAACCCTGTTCACCCCCAACCAGCAAAATGGGCCCCTGCAGGGCACTGGTCTGGCCATGTGCCCAGTGCAGACAGGAGGGGGAAAGAGGACTAATGGTACAGAGATGGTTTGATAAGGATGGCAGAAGCTTTGCAGTTCCCGTTGCACAGGCGGCCCCATGTTATGCCACCCTTGACGTTCAGCTGTACAGAATAACACGCCGAGTACCACCACCCACCCCCAGAGCGGGAGGCACAGTTCCCTCTGTAAGTGTCCTGATCCTGATCTTTTGTGGAGAACTTCATGTTGTTGTGCACGTTCCTTGGATTGTCTGAGTCCATGGCATCCTCCGCTGTCCCTGTGTACGTTCCCAGCCTCAGCCGGTAGCCCTGGGATTCATCTTCCAGGCTGAAGAGGTTGTAGTCTGCGAACTTGATGTTGTTTGCGGCATCCCAGATGACAAACCTGACCTGGTAGACATTCTGCTTGGAGATCTGATGGATGTACTCGGTGCCCAGCCAGTACTCGGTAAGCACATTCCCAAAGCCGTACTTGTAGGTGCTCCAGGACTCAGCCCAGGTGATCTCCGTGCTCTGCCGGTTCCTCTGGATGCCCGTCCAGCCCCCATCCGTGACATTCATTTCACAGTACACCACGATGGGGTGCAGTCCTGTCGGATAGATGACGTAGACGCCGCCGGGGCTGCCAGCCGAGACCTCGCTGCAGTCCTTGGCCCAACCTGGGGCAGGAGAGAGGGTGATTTAACAAAAGCCTGTGCAACAGGACAAGACCATGTTTCACCTTGTGGCAGGATAGAGGGACATCTGGCCAGAGTACCTGGGAGATACTCAGCTGTCCCAGCCCAGAGAGGTCAATGTGCTTGGCTGGAGGTGAGAATGGGTTGGCCTCAGCCCTCTGCTTCTTTTCCATATGGGACACCTAACAGGAGGCAGCCCCAGTGAAAGGCCCCAGACCCACTGGGCTATGCTGGTTTCAGGCCAGGAGACTGATAGGGACACTAGTGGGCTCATCTGGGTCTCCTGAAAAAGGGGTTGTGTCACTAAAACAGGGTCGCTGGGGAGGAAGGTGAAGAGGACCTTGCCCCTGCCTGTGACTGGGGGAACAGGCGAAAAATGATGCCTTCAAGCACAAAGACACCCGTACCAGTCTGCATGGTGCACACACACACATACACACATGCACACACACAGCACTGCAGCCTGCATGGGTACACCTCCTCACATCCACCATCCTCCATCTTGGAGCAGGGCCAGGGCTAGGGACGGTGTAGGGCCCTTCCCCACCCGGAGCTGGCCGTACCTGAGCATAGAACACTGGATCCCCCCTGTGCTAGCAGGTGTGGTCTCCCCATGCCTTCGGCTCGCTTGCTGCAGGACCTCCCACTGCAGTTGAGGTCATTCTACAGGATGGGCAGAGCTCCTCTCCCCAGCTGACCAAGGTCTGGTGTTGATGCCGCCTCTCCCCAGCCCGCCTGCCTGTATACACTACGGAGGTGGTTTTTGGATCTGAGGCATCATAGCACACCCTCTCCCAAGTCTCATTTTACCAAGCCTCCACTGGCCCAGAGCATGGGCTGGGGCTGTTCACCAGCCAGGGCTGACCCAGACAAAGGAACTGAAAGGGGTTGGTAAGAGCACTGTGATGCCCATGGCATGCTACATACTGGTTTTCTTCAGAGCACTCGCCGAAGCATTGGAGGGAGATTTCTTGAAGATGTTTAGGGTTTGTATATGCATGGAGTGGCCTGGGGCAGCCAAGACCAGCACACAAGCAAGGAGTAGAAGGCACTGGGCTGCTAGAAAGGGAAAAGATGGAGAAAAGATGAAATGTGACCCTCCCTCCAGAGAGGTGGGAAATCCCATGGCTCCAGCACTGCACAGTGTAACATGACCATGTGAGATGCAGGAGTGCACCAAGCATGTTGGGCAGCATCATGCTGGTCCGTGCAAGCTGGAAAGTTTGCCAAAAGGCCTCAACTCTTTTGCCCAAGGGGTAGACAACCTTGCCTTTTCCCCTTGACCAGCTCCCAAAAAGTCATGCATGAGATAGTTTTGGATGGAGCAAAGCCCCCAACAACCGACTGAGCCAAGTTTCATTCCTGGCCCCTGAAGCAGGGGACTGGCTGGGATGAGCCTGAAGGCAGGGCACAAGCTGCTGGTGTTCGAAGGGGTGGCAGGTGAGTATGCCCTCAGAGGGCACCAATGCCACTGCTCCCCATTGGTGTGCTAGGACCAGTGCACGGTGCCTCTCCCTGTTGCTGGGCTGCCCTACCTGTGCTCCTCCCATTGCTACCAAGAAGCACCCTGCTTCCCAGCCCAGTACTCACCCATGGCGTCCATGCGGGAATGCCGTCTGCAGCACAAAGCTGTGGAGTGGGAGGTCTCACAGAAGTATTTGTAGTGCCCTCTGCAGTGGGCGGGGTGACTGGGTCCAACCCCCCCTCCCGGATTCCTTTCTCCTAAAGGAGGAAATCAGGCTGGGAAACCCAGCTTTTGTGCCCTTAGAAAAAACAAGCCAAGATGAAGGTGCCTGTGGTTCTAGGTGCATAGCTTCCTGAGCTGCAAAGAAAATAACCCCTGTGCCAGCAAGAGTCCTTGGAATGGTCTCTTCTGTGAGTGCTTAGCTCCTTGGATGGAATTTCCCCTGGGAACAGCATATTTGGGAGCTTTGAAGAGTGCAGCTCAGTAAACAAACACTTGAGTGCCCGTCACAAACCAGTGTGGAGAGCAAACACTGGGGATGTCCCCACCTCCCACCATTACCGCAGGGTGCTGCCAGGTCAATTGGTTCTTGTTTAATGTGCTTTTGACAAGCGCAGCCTAGCTCTTAGTGGGGAAGTCAGAGCAGCCCCCAGAGACTCCCAGAGAGACTGGCTGTTGTGGGAGCAGCTGGTGTTTTCTGGACTGCATAACCCCTGGCAGAGGGTTGTGGCAGAGGGTTGTGGCAGAGGTGAAGAAGGGGGAAGCAGGAGAGATCTCTATTCTCCAGTGGGCCACAGTCCTGATCTGCAAGGACCATTCAGGCCCCCTGAATGGGCCTGCTGAAAGACGCTGGCTAAAAGGTTTCTGTAGGCCAGCTGAGACAGCTGTGGTCTCTGGGGCACTGGGTTTGAGAGACTAGTCATGCAGGATGGATGGCTACAGAGGAAAGCAAGTGTCTGCCCAGGAATGGAGCAAAACTGGGTGGATGGAGGGCAGCAACGGGGATCTGAGCATGTACAGAGGAGAATGGAGGAGTCTGAGTGTGCACAGAGGGGAAAGCAGAAAGCCTGACCCTGTGTGCGTAGAGAGGGAATGGAGGGGATCTGAGTGTGCATGGAGGGAAAATGGAGGGGAATTGAGGGTGCACAGAGGGACTGGAAGGGATCTAACGGCCAAACCCATAGGAACCAAGCACCCACAGAAGGGACGGGTGGGATCTGAGTGTCGATGGAGGGCAACAGTGGGAATCTGAGGGCACTTGTCGTGGAAAAGAGGGATGTGAGTATGCGCAGAGGGGAGAAGTCAGCACTGAAAGGAACAGAGAAGATCCGAGTGTGCAAGGAGGGGAACAGAGGAAATCTGGGTATATACAGAAGGAAATGGAGGACACTTGAGCGTACAAGGAGGAGAATGGAGGGGATCTCTTTGTGCAAGGAGGACAACAGAGGGGTTCCAAGAGAGCACAACAAGGGGAACAAAGAGGAAGCTGGATAGGAATGGAGAGCATCTGAGAGTGCTTGGAAGTGAACAGAATGAGTCTGAGGGGATCTAGAAGCACCCAGAAGGGAACAGAGGGAATTTGAAAGCATGTAGAGGGGGCATGGTTTGGATGTAAGGCGCTCGGAAAGGATGGCAGGGACTGGAGGGTGCACAAAGGGGAGTGGAGGAGATCTGAGCATGTGTGGATGGGAACTGCAGCGTTCCAAGGCACAGGTAGGGGAGCAGAGAGGGTCTACAAGCACTCAAAAGGAAATGGGGGTAACTGAGGGTCCACAGAGGGGAACAGGGGGAGCCTGAGCACTCATAGAGAAGAATGGAAGGCACCGCAGTGGCATGTGGGGGAATAGAGAGTGCATGGAGGGGAATCTGAATGCACACGGAATTGAATGAATGGTTCTGATGTGCCCTCTGATGCTCCCCAGGGTCTTTTATTTGCCCTCTGGTGCAATGCAGAGGCTTCCATTTGGTCCTCTCATCCCCTAAGAATCACTCCGTTTGCCTTTTGGTGCACCCTAAAGAAGGTGCACATTCAGAGGCCTTCGATTTCCCTCCTGTACACCTCAGATTCCTCCATTTGCCTTCTGGTGCCACCTAGAGCTCCTCATTTTCTTTGCAGTGCATCCCAGTGTCCTATATTTGCTTTCCTTTTCATGCCAGAGCCCTCCATAAGCCCTCAGGTGCTCCCCAAGCCCTGCACTGCCTTCTCATGCACCCTGTTTACCTTTGCAAATCCTGTCACCCCAGAGGCCCCAGCAGCGTCCTGGGCAGCAGGGACCTCTTTGTGCAGGATGCTCAGTAGAAAGTCAGGATAAAACTCCAGTCTGGAGATAGTGAGAATCCATTGCTTGCTGGGTCCACAGACCCAGCATGTCTGCAGAGATAGGGAAGGTCTGAGGTCAAGCGT